TTATTTAGTTTACATTTCCATGACTGATGTGTATTTCTGAAGCAATTTAAACATAATTTTAAACTTTTTATTGATTCAATTTTTTGTTGAGTAGATAGTTTCAAAAATGAATCACATTTAAAAATACTGTGATCTTTTGAACAATAATAACATTTTAATTTACTATCTGAAGCTAGTAAACCATGACTACGACTCCTTTTACCCTTGTTATCAAGACTTTCCAAGCCAGTGGCCTCTATTTTCTCTAATATATCACATTTATTTTTAAGAAAGCCATTCAAATCTTGTAACGAAGGTAGGTCGTTCTGGTATTTATAATTTTCCCACTCCCGACGAGTAACAGCATCAAATTTATTTGCTAAAATATAGATGATTAACCTATCCCATGAATCAGTATTTTCTCCTAAACTTTTTAGAGAACGTAAGTGTTTTGTAGTTGTATCAAATAAATTTCTCAATCCTACATGTGATTCATCCCTTAACTTTGGATATTCAAAAATGATTTTAATATGATTATGAATCATTAGGGACTTATTTTCATATCTTTCGAGTAAAAACTGCCATGCGACATTATAATTTATTGCTGATACCTCAATAGATTGAATTGCTTCAAGAACATCCTTATGCAGAGAACTTCTCAAATAATAGAATTTTTGGATGTCGCTGAGTAACTTATTTTGATCAATTAATGAAATAAACGCATCTTTAAACTGCAACCAGTTGCAATATTTACCATCAAATGGTGGTATAGTTATGGGTGGCAATTTTACTATTGGATTATGATCATTTGAATTATGATTTCTATGTCTAGTTGATTCTACACTACCTTTGCTTGTTTCAGAATTTGTTTCAGAGTCAGTACGTACATTTTTAATAATTAATTTTGCCCGACTACATAAATTATAAAATTTATTTTCAAAATCCTCCTCTTCTTCAAGGAGGCCTGTTTTTTGTTCTTCATTTAAAGAACAAAGTTCACAAATAACATCATTAAATTCAGATAAAATTGGTTCTAAAATTTTCAATCTTTTCTCTAATTCTATAATTATCTCTTCAGTTAAATTATCTTTATTTAAATTATCAAAATAATTATTAAATCGTGTTAATTTAGATTTTAAATTACTCTTTTTAATCTTTAACTTTGATTCGTCAGACATTTCACTGATTCAAATCTAAACACACTTTTTTTTTAAATCTCAGCAATTCTCTTACCTTATTTAATTCCAACTGAAGACCCGTGGTGGAACAATCCAACTGTTAGACAAACAGTCGTTTTCCGATCATCAATGGAGAAACACCAATTCCAATATTCACATTTATTGCGTGAATACCCACTATTTGGCTGGAACTTACATGAATATATCCGGCTCGTAGAGACCAATGTTTATAACTAATGCAATATTAGTTTAATGGACTGTATATTTGAATAAATTTCTTTTATTCGGAGAGAAATTATCTTGAACTAGACAGGATTTTTAATTTATTTGACAAATTTTATGACAATACAATCAATACCAGTTATTTTCCAAATTGCTTGTGGATAACAAATTTGCTGGTACTAATATAATATGTTCAGAAACAATAATATCTAATTTAATCTAAATCTAATTTAACAAACTCAAATTTCATTAAGTAGACTCTGGAATGTCATTTTTAGAGATTTTTCTTTGAATTTGTCCGTTTTGTCAGGGCTTTTCTGGTCGGAAAAACCGATTTAAAGTACGAGATTTTGAGTTTTCTTCATTTTCCACTAAAAATTTCCAGTGTTTTACGGGGTAAGTGAGAATAGGTTTTGGAATGTCATTTTCGTTGTTTTTTTTTTTGGAATTTTTATTTAAGGTTTTTGGGGTCCGGGGATCGTTTTCTATTTTTTTTTTTTTCGAAATTCGCAACATAAAAAAAAAACTTTTTTAACGTTGACAGCTGTCAATTTTTTTTGATACAAATCGATAGTTAGCGTCGCGAAGCTGCTTTGTACCGGGGTTTGATTTTCGTAGCTTTTATAGTAGAGCGGAGAAAAAGTCGAACATGTGTCAAATTTGACAGATGACATTTGTCGATATTGCCAGTGTCATGCGACAAAAGTTTTATCTGAATGAATCTGTTCATTGTTAACTGATATAGATTATTTTAAAGCCAATCAAGAGCCGAGAATAAACAACATTCGAATCCCCAAACCAATCAGGAGCCGGGAAAATTTAAAAATTAGAATTCCAAACCCGACGGGAAATTGAATTTTTTGTATCAACTGTTGCTACATAAATCTCACCCTGAAACCCACTAAAAAAAGATCTTTGTTTTTTGGAAAAAACAAAAGATTTTTTTTTTGAGATTGACAGCTGTCAAAATTAAAAAAAAAAACCTACATGGTCATATAGATTTAGCTTCGGCGAATACGTAGGAAGTACCATTTTTTTTTTTTTAACATATGTCAAAAAAGACGTTCGGCGTTGCCAGGTGGTTGGTTTTTGACATATATCGATGAAACTTCTTATTTTAGGGTTTTCGGAGCCTGGGGATCGTTTTCTGACATTTGTTTTTTGAAAAAAAGAAAAGGTAAAAATTTTTGACATTGACAGTGTTGTCAAAATTAAAAAAAAAAAAACACATGGGCATATAGATTTAGCCTCGACGAATATGTAAAGAGTAGCTAAACAGGGCCAATTTTTTGACGTTTGTTGTATTATAAGCAGTGTTGCCATATGTTTTTTTTTTTCGAATCTTGATTCTGAAAGGCTCAATTATGAGCTCAAAGGGCCGAGGTCATACGAGTTTGAAGGGCCGGAATCATGCGAACTCGAAGGACCGAACTTATACGAACCCGACAGGCCGAAGTTATTTTAATCATGCGAAGGTCCGAGATTATACGAGCTTGAAGGGCCGGAATTATACGAACCCGTTTATTGTCAACTGATTTTAATAATTTGGCTCTTCAGATCGTAATCTTTGAAACAAAAAGACGCCATTTTATATCGACTGTCAAAAAAACCAAGGCCTACTTTGATATTTCAATTTTTTGACGTTTGTTGTATCATGAGCAGCGTTGCCGTATGTTTTTATTAAATCTCGATTTATAGGTTATCATTGACATTTCTGAAAAATATTTCCTTTAAAATTCCCAAATATTCTTTGGAATTCCCAAAAAAATCTATTTAAATCTCAGAATTCCATATTTTAGTGGAATTTCGGTAGAATAATTATGTTATTCTGAAAAAGGAATTAGATGTGAAATTTTTGCGGAGTTTCTATAGAATTCATATTAAATTTTAATTCCTCTCGAATTACTTGAAATTTCAGTGAAATTCTGATCGAATTATACAAAATCCTAAATGAATTAGATGGAGGAATTTTAAACAATTACATGAAATTACACCGAAATTCCCAACATGAAATTTCACTTTTTACTGAATTTTAGTAATGCCGAGGAATTTCCAGCTAAAAACATAGAATTTCGGTAATATTCCGAAAAATTCCCACGTAATAACATGAAATTTCAATATATTTCGATGAATTTTTAAAAAATTACTTGAAACTTCATTAATATTCCCAGAAATTCCTGGCTATCAAAAGAGAATTTCAGTGAAATTCCGAAAAATTCTTATGAAAATAAATTAAATTTTGAAAATTCCTTGAAGTTTCATTGGACTTTCGAGAAATTTTCTGTTATGAACGTGGATATTCTCATAAAATTTTAGTGAATTCCGAGAAATTTTCAAGAAATTACATGAAATTCCAAAAAAATTTATAAAAATTTTGTGGAATTCCAGGATATTTCAGTGATAAAATTTTGAGGAATTTTAATAAAGTTAAAAAAAAAATATGGAATTTTGAAATTGAAATCTTCTAAAATTCCGAGGAATTTCATGAAATCTTATACTGTAATTAGCCTCCTCACTTGAAATAGTCACGAGCCGCCACTGCTTCTAGTGGTTCTAATTCTTTCAAACAATTTAATGTTAAACTTCCTGTCATTGAGTTGCCTAAATTTTATGGGAGCTACGATAAATGGCTTGAATTCAAAGAATTATTTATTTCTTTAATTCATAATACTCAAAATCTCGATCCAGTTCAAAAGCTACATTATTTGTGTGCCTCTTTGGAGGGTTCTGCGGTTCAGTGTATAGATCTTATTACCAATACCGCTTTTCTGGATCAAGCTTTTAATAACTGCATCGATAAATGCTTTATTTTCCCGGACTCTTTTACGATGAATACTCATCATACAAAGTCCGGAAAGTCTATCATGCCTCATAGTCGATCTTAGCCATGTCTTGACTCTCCTTAATGTGCTGAAGGACCTCTCAACGGTACAAGTTGTGGCTGGAAGGGTTAATCCAATTTTGATTGCTTCCGTTACAGAGGACATATTGCCTAACGAAAATTTTAGCAGGTCAATATATTTCAATTTATTAATTTCTTGAGGAGCAAGTTCAGACAACTTCCACATTTCATACCAGGTTTGTGCCTCTGACAGAAAGTTATCCAAAATATCTCCGTAGAAGTCTTGAATGGCGGATGCTACCTCTAAAAATTCTTTCAAAGTCATGCTCGTTGAGCAAGCTTTTACTCGTTGAAACATAATTAAAACTCATTGAAACTTATCAAAAACTCATTGAAAAATGATAAAAATTCATTAAAAATTTCAAAAAATAAAAAACTAGAATCTCGTTGAATCATCATAAGAACTCGTTTTTCAGGTCAACGAAAACTCGAACCTATCGGCCGACGAAAAATCGAGCCTCATCGCCGAAAAACACCGAATCATCGTCAAACCGATCGTATTCGTCCTAGAACAACTCCGTCAAGTAACCGGCGCCGAACCCGAAACCCCGCACGAACGCCTCTTCCAAGAAAAATACCTCGCCGACATCGACCGAGTCATTTCCCAACTGAAAAATCCCGATTTCCCGGAAAAACCGCACGAATCGCTCGCGCCGCTTAAACAATTGCAGAAAAAGTTTCAGCAAAAGTTCCACAAGAGGGCGTCGTATTCGCTCAAAATGCGCGACATTTCGCCGGTACTTTGGGCGATCAAGGACACGCCGATTGCGATGCCCGGCGTCGCGACGAACACGAACGTCACGATTGAGAGCGTCGGCGACGTCGTATCGATTCTACCGACCAAAACGAAGCCCAAGAAGTTGGTCTTTTATGGGTCAGATGGTAAAACTTATACCTACTTGTTTAAGGTAAGAATTTGGAATTGTACTAGTTTTTGTATACAATTATTTTTCACCTTAAAACATTTTTCACGTTGTTAAATATTACATTTTGACACTTTTTAGCAATTGTACTAGTTTTAGTACAATTATTATTTTGTTTATATTACTTCTAGTACAATTATTTTTTGCTTTAAAACTTCATTCGCGTTTCCATTTTTTGCAATTGTACTAATTTTAGTACATTTATTATTTTGATTGTTTTTCAAAAGTGAAAAAAATTCATAAAATTGGAAAATTTACAAAATTCACAAAAACTCACAAAATTGAAGAAAAAAAAATCACGAAATTTTCAAGTGAAAAATTTTTGAAAAAATTCAAAACATTCACAAAATTCACAAAAATTCACAAAATTAAAAAAAAAAACAAAAAATTTCAAAAGTGAAAAAAATTCACAAAATTTACAAAAATGATAAATTAACAAAATTCAAGAAAAAAATACAAACAGTGGCATCACTGTAAAATAATAAAAACTTCATTTATTTTGACTTTTTTGACAGTTAAAAAATCCAAAAAACAAACTCACAAACCTATAACACGAAATTTAAAAATTTCAAGAAAAAATACAAACAGTGGCAACGCTGTAAAATAATATGAATTTTATTTATTTTAACGTTTTTGACAAGTATTGAGTCTCACAAGCCTAAAGCACAAAATTTTAAAATTCCAAAAAAAAAAACAAAGAATGGCAACACTGTAAAATAATGATAATTTCATTTATTTTGACGTTTTTGACAGGTAAAAAATCCAAAAAACAGCCTCACAACCCTATAACACGAAATTTAAAAATTCCAAGAAAGAATACAAACAGTGGCAACGCTGTTAAATAATAAAAATTTGACTTATTTTGACATTTTTGACAATTAAAAAATTCAAAAAACAAACTAACAAGCCTATAACACAAAATTTAAAAATTCCAAGAAAAAAAATCAGCAGTGGCAACGCTATAAAATAATATTAATTTTGACGTTTTTGACAAGTATTAAGTCTCACAAGCCTATAGCACAAAATTTTAAAACTCCTAGAAAAAAAAAACGAAATTTGGCAACGTTGTAAAAAAAAAATAAATATCAATTATTTTGACGTTTTTGACAGTTAAAAAATCAAAAGTGCAACCTCACAGCCTATAACACAAAAAAATTTCAAAAAAAAAAATCAACAGTGGCAACGCTGTAAAATAATATGAATTTTATTTATTTTAACGTTTTTGACAAGTATTGAGTCTCACAAGCCTATAGCACAAAATTTTAAAACTCCTAAAAAAAAAAAAGCTGGCAACGTTGTAAAAAAAATATAAATGTCAATCATTTTGACGTTTTTGACAGTTAAAAAATTAAAAGTGCAGACTCACAAGCCTATAACACGAAATTTAAAAATTTCAAGAAAAAAAATCAACAGTGGCAACGCTGTAAAATAATATAAATTTCATTTATTTTGACGTTTTTGACAAGTATTGAGTCTCACAAGCCTAAAGCACAAATTTTTAAAATTCCAAAAAAAAAAACAAAGAATGGCAACGCTGTAAAATAATAATAATTTCATTTATTTTGACGTTTTTGACAGGTAAAAAATCCAAAAAACAGCCTCACAACCCTATAACACAAAATTTAAAAATTCCAAGAAAAAATACAAACAGTGGCAACGCTGTAAAGTAATAAAAATTTGACTTATTTTGACATTTTTGACAATTAAAAAATCCAAAAAACAGACTCAAGTCGATAATACGAAATTTAAAAATTTCAAGAAAAAGAATCAACAGTGGCAACGCTGTAAAATAATATGAATTTCATTTATTTTGACGTTTTTGACAAATATTGAGTCTCACGAGCCTATAGCACAAAATTTTAAAACTCCTAGAAAAAAAAACGAAACTTGGCAACGTTGTAAAAAAAAAGAAATGTCAATTACTTTGACGTTTTTGACAGTTAAAAGATCAAAAGTGCAGCCTATCAAGCCTATAACACGAAATTTAAAAATTTCAAGAAAAAAAATCAACAGTGGCAACGCTGTAAAATAATATGAATTTCATTTATTTTGACGTTTTTGACAAGTATTGAGTCTCACAAGTCTATGGCACAAAATTTTAAAATTCAAAAAAAAAAAATAAAGAGTGGCAACGCTGTAAAATGATAATAATTTCACTTATTTTGACGTTTTTGACAGTTAAAAAATCCAAAAAACAGCCTCACAACCCTATAACACGAAATTTAAAAATTCCAAGAAAAAGTTTAAACAGTGGCAACGCTGTAAAATAATAAACACTTCACTTATTTTGACATTTTTGACAATTAAAAACTCCAAAAAACAGACTCACAAGCCTATAACACGAAATTTAAAGATTCGAAGAAAAAATACAAACAGTGGCAACGCTGTAAAATAATAAGAATTTCATTTATTTTGACGTTTTTGACAAGTATTGAGTCTCACAAGCCTAAAGCACAAAATTTTAAAATTCCAAGAAAAATAAAGAATGGCAACGCTGTAAAATAATAATAATTTCATTTATTTTGACGTTTTTGACAGTTAAAAAATCCAAAAAACAGCCTCACAGCCCTATAACACAAAATTTAAAAATTCCAAGAAAAAAAAGAAAAAGTGGCAACGCTGTGAAATAATAAAAATTTGACTTATTTTGACATTTTTGATAATTAAAAAATCCAAAAAACAAACTCACAAGCTTATAACACGAAAAATTTCAAGAAAAAAAATCAATAGTGGCAACGCTGTAAAATAATATGAATTTCATTTATTTTGAAGTTTTTGACAAGTATTGAGTCTCACAAGCCTAAAGCACATAATTTTAAATTCCAAGAAAAAACAAAGAATGGCAACGCTGTAAAATGAAAATTTCACTTATTTTGACGTTTTTGACAGTTAAAAAACCCAAAAAAGTGAAAAAAGTTCACAAAAGTGAAAAAAAAATCACAAAATTTACAAAATTGATAAATTTACAGAATTTATAAAAATTCACAAAATTAAAAAAAAAAATCACAAAATTTTCAAAAGTGAAAAAAATTCACAAAAGTAAAAAAAGTTCACAAAATTGATAAATTCATAAAATTCACAAAAATTCACAAAATTGAGGAAAAAAAATCACGAAATTTTCAAGTGGAATAAATTTACAAAAATTCAAGATTTTTACAAAATTTACAAAATTCACAAAATTAAAAAAAAAAGGTGAAAAAAAATCACAAAATTTTCAAACAAATTCACAAAAGTAAAAAAAGTTTACAAAATTGACAAATTCATAAAATTAACAAGAATTCACAAAAATTCACAAAATTTTCAAAAGTGAAAAAAAATCACAAAATTATAAAATTGATAAACTCACAAAATTTACAAAAATTTACATAATTTACAATATGTATTCACGAAATTAAAAAAAAATCACAAAATTTTTAAAAGTGGAAAAAATTCACAAAATTTAAATAAAAAATTCACAGAAGGAAAAAAATTCACAAGAGGGAAAAAATTCACAAAATTTTCAAAAGTGGAAAAAATTCACAAAGGTGAAAAAAGTTCCCAAGATTGATAAATTTATAAAAAAATAAAAAATAGATTAACAATTGTACTAGTTTTAGTACAAATATTATTTTGGCTGTACTACTTTTAGTATAATTATTTTTTATTTTAAAACATCATACACGTTGTTAGATACACATTTAGACGATTTTTAGCAATTGTACTACTTCTAGTACAATTATTTTTTGCATTAAAACTTTGATAACGTTGTTAAATACACATTTAGACACTTTCTTGCAATTGTACTAGTTTTAGTACAATTATTATTTTCGTCAGTATTTTAGTACTCAGAAAAAAAAAAATCTTCTCAAAAATTATTTCTGAGCCAAAGTTGAAATTTTTCAAAATTTCAGGGCCTCGAAGATTTACATTTGGACGAAAGAATAATGCAATTTCTGAGCATCGCCAACACGATGATGGCTCAGAACGCCGATCCGGCCGGTGAAAACCTCTACAGGGCCCGACACTATTCCGTAATACCTTTGGGTGAGTTTTTAAGGAAAATTAGAGTGAATGGCAACGTTGTAGTAAAACAAAAATTGAATTTGGCAACATTGCATTTGACTCTTTTGGAGAGATTGAGCAACATCGATTCAAATTTTGAAGAAATTCACTGTTGCAATGTTGTCAAATTGATAAAAAAAAAGTCTAATTTGTTTCATTCTAAAAATTAGGTTTTGCAACATTGCCAGATTCTTTTGGACCACCTATGGCAACGTCGATTTGAATTAAAAAAAAGCATTGTTGCCAAAAACTTTCATTCAGTCACAATGTTGCCAAATTGTTGAAAAAATACAATTTTTTTCCATTCTAAAAATTAAATTTTGTAACCATGCCAGATTTTTTGGGACCAAATTTGGCAATGTCGGTTTGAATTAAAAAAAAAAAAACTCTGTTGCCTTAAGTTGCGGTGTAGCCAAATTGTTGTAAAACTCCTATATTTCAGGTCCGAGATCTGGATTGATATCGTGGGTGGACGGGACAACGCCAGTTTTTGCGCTCTATAAGCGCTGGCAACAGCGCGAATTGGCCAAACCCAACGCTAAAGGTAAGAATTTTTTGAGTTTTTTTCTGATCTTCTGAACTTTTATTTTGGAATTTTTAAAAAATTTTGAACCAATGTAAATAATTACAAGCAAAAGTAACTTTTCAAAAATCTGAAGCAACTCTTCAAATATTTGAAGCAACTTGCAAAAAAATCTAAAAAAAATTCCAAAAAATTTAAAACATCTTTCAAAAAAATCTTGGGCAGGTTTGAGAGAATTTATCATTAAAATCTGAAGTAAATTTCGAAAGATCTGAAGCAACTTCCAAAAAATCTTAAGCAACTTGTAAAGAATTTGAAACTACTTGACAAGATTCTGAAGCAACTTTTAAAAAATCTGATGTAAGTTTCAAAGTTTCTGAAGCAACTTTCAACGAATTTGAAGCAACTTCCAAAAAAATTTGAAGCAATTTCCAAAAATTGACTTTTTCGCGACTTTCTGAGCAATCTCTGATTTGAACCCCGACAACCCGTATATTTTTTGAATTGGCTTAGAAAGCATATTCCAAAAATATTTAAAGCAATTTACAAAACAATCTGAAGTTACTTTTCGAAAAATCTGAAGCAACTTCCAAAAAAAAATTTTATGCAATTTTCAAAAAAATCTGAAGCAACTTTTCAAAAAATTTGAAGTAATTTTTGAAGATTCTGAAGCAACTTTCCAAAAAATTTGAAGCAATTTCAGAAAAAAAGAACTGAAGCATCTTCTAAAAAAATTTGTAGCAACTTTCAAAAATTGACTTTTTGCGATTTTCTGAGTCACTTTCGAATTCAACTCCACAACTCGTATATGTATTTTCTGAACCGGCTCAGAAAGCATCTTCCTAAAAAATTTGAAGCAATTTCCAAAAATTGACTTTTTCGCTATTTTCTGAGCAACCTCTAATTTGAACCCCGACAACCCGTATATTTTTTTGAATTGGCCTAGAAAGCATATTCCAAAAATATTTAAAGTAATTTACAAAACAATCTAAAGTTACTTTTCAAAAAATCTGAAGCAACTTCCAAAAAAAATTTTATGCAATTTTCAAAAAAATCTGAAAAAATTTGAAGTAATTTTTGAAGATTCTGAAGCAACTTTCCAAAAAATTTGAAGCAATTTCAGAAAAAAACAACTGAAGCATCTTCTAAAACAATCTGTAGCAACTTCCAAAAAACTCTGAAGCAACTTCCAAAAATTTACTTTTTGCGATTTTCTGAGTCACCTTCGAATTCAAACTCCACAACTCGTATATGTATTTTCTGAACCGGCTCAGAAAGCATCTTCCTAAAAAATTTGAAGCAATTCCCAAAAATTGACTTTTTCGCCATTTTCTGAGCAACCTCTGATTTGAACCCCGACAACCCGTATATTTTTTGAATTGGCTTAGAAAGCATATTCCAAAAATATTTAAAGCAATTTACAAAACAATCTGAAGTTACTTTTCAAAAAATCTGAAGCAACTTTTCAAAAAATTTGAAGTAATTTTTAAAGATTCTGAAATAACTTTTCAAGAAATTTGAAGCAATTTCAGAAAAAAACAACTGAAGCATCTTCTAAAACAATCTGTAGCAACTTCCAAAAAACTGTGAAGCAACTTCCAAAAATTTACTTTTTGCGATTTTCTGAGTCACCTTCGAATTCAAACTCCACAACTCGTATATGTATTTTCTGAACCGGCTCAGAAAGCATCTTCCTAAAAAATTTGAAGCAATTCCCAAAAATTGACTTTTTCGCCATTTTCTGAGCAACCTCTGATTTGAACCCCGACAACCCGTATATTTTTTGAATTGGCTTAGAAAGCATATTCCAAAAATATTTAAAGCAATTTACAAAACAATCTGAAGTTACTTTTCAAAAAATCTGAAGCAACTTTTCAAAAAATTTGAAGTAATTTTCAAAGATTCTGAAATAACTTTTCAAGAAATTTGAAGCAATTTCAGAAAAAAACAACTGAAGCATCTTCTAAAACAATCTGTAGCAACTTCCAAAAAACTGTGAAGCAACTTCCAAAAATTTACTTTTTGCGATTTTCTGAGTCACCTTCGAATTCAAACTCCACAACTCGTATATGTATTTTCTGAACCGGCTCAGAAAGCATCTTCCTAAAAAATTTGAAGCAATTCCCAAAAATTGACTTTTTCGCCATTTTCTGAGCAACCTCTGATTTGAACCCCGACAACCCGTATATTTTTTGAATTGGCTTAGAAAGCATATTCCAAAAATATTTAAAGCAATTTACAAAACAATCTGAAGTTACTTTTCAAAAAATCTGAAGCAACTTTTCAAAAAATTTGAAGTAATTTTTAAAGATTCTGAAATAACTTTTCAAGAAATTTGAAGCAATTTCAGAAAAAAACAACTGAAGCATCTTCTAAAACAATCTGTAGCAACTTCCAAAAAACTGTGAAGCAACTTCCAAAAATTTACTTTTTGCGATTTTCTGAGTCACCTTCGAATTCAAACTCCACAACTCGTATATGTATTTTCTGAACCGGCTCAGAAAGCATCTTCCTAAAAAATTTGAAGCAATTCCCAAAAATTGACTTTTTCGCCATTTTCTGAGCAACCTCTGATTTGAACCCCGACAACCCGTATATTTTTTGAATTGGCTTAGAAAGCATATTCCAAAAATATTTAAAGCAATTTACAAAACAATCTGAAATTACTTTTCAAAAAATCTGAAGCAACTTTTCAAAAAATTTGAAGTAATTTTTAAAGATTCTGAAATAACTTTTCAAGAAATTTGAAGCAATTTCAGAAAAAAACAACTGAAGCATCTTCTAAAACAATCTGTAGCAACTTCCAAAAAACTGTGAAGCAACTTCCAAAAATTTACTTTTTGCGATTTTCTGAGTCACCTTCGAATTCAAACTCCACAACTCGTATATGTATTTTCTGAACCGGCTCAGAAAGCATCTTCCTAAAAAATTTGAAGCAATTCCCAAAAATTGACTTTTTCGCCATTTTCTGAGCAACCTCTGATTTGAACCCCGACAACCCGTATATTTTTTGAATTGGCTTAGAAAGCATATTCCAAAAATATTTAAAGCAATTTACAAAACAATCTGAAGTTACTTTTCAAAAAATCTGAAGCAACTTCCAAAAAAAATTTTATGCAATTTTCAAAAAAATCTGAAAAAATTTGAAGTAATTTTTGAAGATTCTGAAGCAACTTTCCAAAAAATTTGAAGCAATTTCAGAAAAAAACAACTGAAGCATCTTCTAAAACAATCTGTGCAACTTCCAAAAAACTCTGAAGCAACTTCCAAAAATTTACTTTTTGCGATTTTCTGAGTCACCTTCGAATTCAAACTCCACAACTCGTATATGTATTTTCTGAACCGGCTCAGAAAGCATCTTCCTAAAAAATTTTAAGCAATTTCCAAAAATTGACTTTTTCGCTATTTTCTGAGCAACCTCTGATTTGAACCCCGACAACCCGTATATTTTTTGAATTTTCCATAAATATTTGAAGCAATTTACAAAACAATCTGAAATTACTTTTCAAAAAATCTGAAGCAACTTCCAAAAAAAATTTTATGCAATTTTCAAAAAAATCTGAAGCAACTTTTCAAAAAATTTGAAGTAATTTTTGAAGATTCTGAAGCAACTTTCCAAAAAATTTGAAGCAATTTCAGAAAAAAACAACTGAAGCATCTTCTAAAACAATCTGTAGCAACTTCCAAAAAACTCTGAAGCAACTTCCAAAAATTTACTTTTTGCGATTTTCTGAGTCACTTTCGAATTCAAACTCCACAACTCGTATATGTATTTTCTGAACCGGCTCAGAAAGCATCTTCCTAAAAAATTTGAAGCAATTTCCAAAAACTGACTTTTTCGCTATTTTCTGAGCAACCTCTGATTTGAACCCCGACAACCCGTATATTTTTTGAATTTTCCAAAAATATTTGAAGCAATTTACAAAACAATCTGAAATTACTTTTCAAAAAATCTGAAGCAACTTCCAAAAAAAATTTTATGCAATTTTCAAAAAAATCTGAAGCAACTTTTCAAAAAATTTGAAGTAATTTTTGAAGATTCTGAAGCAACTTTCCAAAAAATTTGAAGCAATTTCAGAAAAAAACAACTGAAGCATCTTCTAAAACAATCTGTAGCAACTTCCAAAAAACTCTGAAGCAACTTCCAAAAATTTACTTTTTGCGATTTTCTGAGTCACCTTCGAATTCAAACTCCACAACTCGTATATGTATTTTCCGAACCGGCTCAGAAAGCATATTTCTAAAAAATTTGAAGCAATTTCCAAAAATTGACATTTTCGCTATTTTCTGAGCAACCTCTGATTTGAACCCCGACAACCCGTATATTTTTTGAATTGGCTTAGAAAGCATATTCCAAAAATATTTAAAGCAATTTACAAAACAATCTGAAGTTACTTTTCAAAAAATCTGAAGCAACTTCCAAAAAAAAATTTATGCAATTTTCAAAAAAATCTGAAGCAACTTTTCAAAAAATTTGAAGTAATTTTTGAAGATTCTGAAGCAACTTTCCAAAAAATTTGAAGCAATTTCAGAAAAAAAAAACTGAAGCATTTTCTAAAAAAATCTGTAGCAACTTCCAAAAACTTCTGAAGCAACTTCCAAAAATTGACTTTTCGCAATTTTCTGAGTCACCTTTGAATTCAACCCCCATAACCCGTATATGTATTTTCTGAACCAGCTCAGAAAGCATTTTCCTAAAAAATCTGGAGCAACTTCCAAAAATTCGTTTTTTCTTTTTCTTAGGATCCACTACAGTTCCTCGGCCTTCTGAGCTCTTTTACAACAAACTCGTTGAGCATGGAGTGAGCAACATTGACAACCGTAAAGAGTGGCCTCTGGCGGTGCTTAAAGAAGTTCTGACGGAACTCACAAACGAAACGCCCAGCGATTTGATCGCCAAAGAGTTGTGGTGCAACGCTGTTTCGGCCAACGCATGGTGGCAAGTGGTCAAACGATACTCGTACAGTGTTGCCGTCATGAGTATTATTGGTGAGTAGGTTTTTTCAATTGTACTAGATTTAGTACAATTTTTTTTTTTTTAGGAATTTTTAGTACAATTTTTTAAATATCATTTCCGTAATTAGGTTCACTTTTCAGGAATTGTACTAGTTTTAGTACAATTCGAATTTATTTCATACAAGTTAAAACACACTCTAACAATGATTAAAAACTTTTTTTTTTGGAATTGTACTAAACTTAGTGCAATTTTATGTTAATATAAATTACATCGATGTAAATGTAATGTAATTACTGAAATTAGTCCAACTTTCCTGAACAACATTGTTTTTTTTCTGAAGCTAGTGAATTTTTTTCTGAGTCATAATTTTTTTTTTTTAGAAATTAACCAAATTGACTCAATTTTTTTTCCGAGTTGTAAAAACCTTTTTCTCGGAAAATATCAAAGTTGCCTCAATTTTTTTTTTCTGAGTGAAATTTATTTTTTCTGAGTCGAAGTAATTTTTCTCAAAAAATACCAAAATCAGCTCAAAACTTTTTTTGATTTGAGAAAATATCAAAGTTGACTCAGATTTTTTTTTTTACCAAAGTCGAGCGAGTTAATTTTTTTCTGAGTCGTCGAATTAATTTTATCTCAAAAAATACCAAAATTGGCTCAGAACTTTTTTCTGAGTCCTATGAATTTTTTTTTTTTTTGAGTCGAGTCCATAAAATTTGAAAAATTCAATCCATCCACATCCTAGATTGTTTTTTTCTGAACCTAGTCAATTTTTTTCTGAGTCAATTAATTTTTTTCTCAAAAATTATTAATTGTTTTTCCAAGTTGTAAGAATTTTTTTCTCGGAAAATATAAAAGTTGACTCAGAATTTTTTTTCTGAGTGAAATTTATTTTTCTGAGTCTGGTATTTTTTTTTTCATAAATACCAAAATCAATTCAAAACTTTTTCTGATTTGAGTTTATAGAAAATATCAAAGTTGACTCAGAATTTTTTTCTGAATCATATGAATTTTTTTTTGAGTCGAGTCGAGTTTAATATTTTCTGAGAAAAAAATCAATTTGACTCAGCATTTTTTTTTATTCGATTTTGGTATTTTCTAAAACTTAGCTCCATTCAGAAAAAAATCTCTCGATTTGCTGAAAAAAAAATTCATGACTCAGAAAAAAAATTCTGAGTCAGATTTTTTTTTTAAGTCAACATTAATATTTCAGAAAAAAATTCACTAGTTTCAGAAATAATCAATCTTGTTCAGAAAAAAATTCTGAGTCAAAGTTGGATTTTTCAAATTACAAGATCTCGACTCAGAAAAAAATTCATATGATTCAGAAAAAAATTCTGAGTCAACTTTGATATTTGCTGTAACAATTTACTCAAATCAGAAAAAGTTTTAAATTGATTTTGGTATTTTTGAGAAAAATTAACTTGACTCAGAAAAAATTAATTTCACTCAAAAGAAAATTTTGAGTCAACTGATATTTTTCAACAAAAAAGTTCTGACAACTCGGAAAAATAATTGAGTCAATTTTGTTAATTACCAAGAAAAAAAATTAATTATTACTCAGAAAAAAACTGACTAGTTCCAGAAAAAAAACAATCTTGTTTAGATAAAAATTCTGAGTCATTTCAAGGACTTGTCTCAAAAAAAAAAATCATGACTCAAAAAAATTTCTGAGCTAGCTATGATATTTTCTGTAAGTCTTCTCAAATCAGAAAAAGTTTTTAATTGATTTTTTGTTTAAATTAACTTGACTCAGAAAAAATTCTGAGTCAACTTCTTTGATTTTTTTTCGAGAAAAAAGTTCTTACAACTCGGAAAAACAATTGAGTCAATTTTATTAATTTAATATACTAAATTTAGTACAATTTCTAAAAAAGTTTGTATGACTTTCGAAGTAAATTTGAATTGTACTAAAACTAGTACAATTGAGTCGGACTAATTTCTGAGTTGAATAAAAAAAAAATTCGGATAATAACAGAATAATTGACTCAAAAACTTTTTCTGAGTCAAGTGTTTTTTTTTCTTAGAAAACCTTTAAGTTGACTTAGAATTTTTTTCTGAGTCTGCGTATGTTTTTTTCTGAGTCAAGTTAATTTATTTTGTGGGTCGAATTGTTTTTTTTTTAAAGCAACCAAAATTGACACAAGTTTTTTTCTGATTCGAGTCATTTTTTCTTCTCAGAAAATCAACTCTATTTTTTTTTTGGAGTTGAATTATTTTTTCTCAGAAAATAAGAAATTTAACTCAAAAACTTTTTCTGAGTCGGATGAATCTTTTCCTTAGAAAATATGTAAATTAACTCAGATTTTATTTTTCTGAGTGCTCAATTTTTTTTTCTGAGTCAAGTTAATCAAAATAATCAAAATTGACTCAAAATTTTTCAATTAATTTTTTTTCCGGAAAATTACAAAATTGACTTAAAAACTTCTTCTGAGTCGGGTGAATCTTTTTCTCAGAAAATATTAAATTTGACTCGAATTTTTCTTTATTTTAAATTCATTAATTATTATTTAAATGAGTCTCAATCTTATAATGTCAAACTTTCTGAGCGCTTAGAAGTTTTTTTTCTGAGTCAAATTAACTTTTACTCATTAAATACCAAAATTGAGTCAAATTTTTGAATTATTTTTTTCTCGGAAAATTACACATTTGACTCAAAAACTTTTTCTGAATCGGGTGAAATATTTCAGAAACTATCCAAGTTGATTCAGAATATTTTCTGAGTTTCGTCGAGTTAATTTTTTCCAAGTCGAGTTAATTGTTTTTTTCTCAGAAAAAATACCTTTTTCTCAGAAAATATTAAAATTGACACAGATTTCCTAGACTAGTCTCGATATCATAAAGGTTTCGGATTTTCTGAGTCAAATGTATTTTATTTTCAAAAAATAATAAAGTTGACTCTGATTTTTTTTCTGAGTAGGAATATTTTTCGGAGTTGTCTCGAAAAATAATAAATTAACTAAAAAAGTTTTTCTGAGTCGAATTAATTGTCTCAAAGCATAACAAAATTGACACAAAAACTTTTTCTGAGTCGGGTAGATTTTTTTCAGAAACTATTGAAATTGACTCAGAATATTTTCTGAGTCTCATCGAGTTAATTTTTCCTGAATGGAGTTAATTTTTATCAGAGAAAATACCCTATATTAAAATTGATACAGATTTTCTAGATTAGTCTAAATAAAAATTTTGGATTTTTTGAATAATCAGAAAAACTTTTTCTGAGTGAAATGTATTTTTTCTTAGAAAATAACAAAATTGGCTCAAAAACGTTTTTCTGAATCGGGTGGATTTTTTTCAGAAACTATTAAAATTGACTCAGAATATTTTCTGAGTCTCGTCGAATTAATTTATCCCAAGTTGAGCTTATTTTTTTTTTCTCAGAAACAATACCTTTTTTTAAAACTAATCTCAATTTCATAAAAGTTTCGGATTTTTTAAGCGCTCAGAAATACTTTTCTTGAGTCATGTTTTTTTCTCAGAAAATAACAAAATTGACTCAGGATTTTTTTTCTGAGTTGGAATATTTTTCTGAGTTGTCTCAAAAAATAACAAATTGACTCAAAAAAAATTTCTGAGTCAAATGTTTCAATGAGTCGAATTAATTGTCTCAGAAAATAACAAACTTGACGCAAAACCTTTTTCTGAGCCGAAACTAAAGTTGACTATGAAAGTCTCGTCAGTTAATTTTTTCTGAGTCGAGCTAATTTTTTCTTTCTCACAGAAAATACCTTTTTCTCAAAAAATATTAAAATTGACACAAATTTCTAGACTAGTTTCATTCTCATAAAAGTTTCGGATTTCCTGAGCGCTCAGAGAAAGTTTTTCTGAGTCAAGTTTATTTTTTTTCAAAAAATAATAAAGTTGACTCAGATTTTTTTTTCTAAGCCGAAAATTTTTTTGAGTCTCGACTCTAAAAGTTTTTCTGAGTCAAATGTTTTTCTGAGTCGAATTAATTGTTTCAAAAAATAACAAAATTGACACAAAACTTTTTCGGAGTCGGATGGATTTTTTACAGAAATTATTGAAGTTGACTAGACTAAGAATATTTTCTGAGTCTCGTCGAGTTAATTTTTTTTTCTCTCAGAGAAAAGACCTTTTTGTCAAAAAATATTGACACAGATTTTCTAGACTAGTCCTGATCACATAAGAGTTGCGGATTTTCTGAGCTCTCAGATAAAAAAAATTCTGATTCAAGTTTATTTTTCTCAGAAAATGACAAAGTTAACTCAGATTTTTTTTTCTGAGTTGAATTAATATTGTCTTGGAAAATAACAAAATGAAAAAGTTTTTCTGAGTCGAATGTTTTTCTGAGTCAAATTAATTGTCTCAGAAAATAGCAAAACTAACACAAAAACTTTTTCTGAGTCGGGTGGATTTTTTTTCAGGAACTATTAAAGTTAATTCAAAAGAATATTTTCTGAGTCTCGTCGAGTCAATTTTCCCCGAATCCAAGCAAGTTTTTCTGAGTTGAATATTGTTTTCCTCAAAAAATCTTAAGAATCGACTTCCAAGTCAAATTATTTTTTTCTGAGTCGAACTTTTTTATTTAAGAAATTTATTATTTGTTTGATTTTCTTAAAAATTGAAATGTACTATAACTAGTACAATTCCTAAAACTTGTTGGAGAGTGAATCTAATCATGGGAATTATATCTGTACTAAAAATTTCCAACCACAAAAAAATTGTACTAAATCTAGTACAATTCTAAAAAAGTTTCTAATCATTATAGGAATGTGTTTTATAACGTGTATGACTTTTTTGAAGTGAATTTGAATTGTACTAAAACTAGTACAATTCCGAAAACTCACTAGAAAGTGAATCTAATCACGGAAATGATATTTTAAAAATTGTACTAGAAATTCCCGACTAGAAAAAAATGTACTAGATCTAGTACAATCTCTAAAAAAAGTTTTTAATCATTTGTAATAGTGAATAAATGAGTAAATTTGGATTGTACTAGAACTAGAAAAATTGTACTAAATCCAGTACAATTTAAAAAAAAAGTTTTTTGTCATTTGTAGTAAGTAAATAAATAACAATTCCTAAAACTCGCTGGAAAGTGAATAAGCTCGGAAGTGATTTTTCAAAAATTGTACTAAATCTAGTAAAAT